AGTGTTCAAATGGGATTAATGTTGTAGTTAATATGAGGTTCGAAGTGTAATATTTATTGTTTATCTATTATTGACTGGTAATTCCTGTTTCATCCTGTACCACATGTCTGTAAAGAAGCTAGCTTCAAGGGGTAATGATAACATTTTTTTACACTAAGATTAAATTTTTACTAGTTATTAATGATACATATAAAAACAAATACTCTGTTTGAAACTATGTCACCTCAGTGAAACTGGTTAACATAATTGTTTTGGTTTTTGAGTTATCATGTAATAAAAAAGAAGCAGAAGAAAGAAGAACAAGAAATTCAAACTTTTTGCTATGATATTTACAGACATTCCCAGAACTTGTGACTCAGTCACCACGTAAATATTGTTATAAAAGAAACACTGTATAGTATTGTAAAATTCTGATGATCTGTTGAGCAATCCGAGTCATCCCTACATAGGCTGTGCTACTATATGTCTGATTATCACAAACTTTTATATTTTTCTAATATACTAAAATGATCGTGTATAATGCTATCCTTAAGTGCATTTTCACCTGTTCTTTTATGGTCATACTTGGTTATCTCTTTTCTTTATGGGCATCCTTTTCTGCACATGTCATAAGGTTTTACTGAGTTATACTTAAACTTTAATTAAATTGCTTTATTAACATGGTATAAAAATAAACTTGGCATAAAAACATAGCTAATAATCAAAGTTTTAGAATTATATAAAACTTCTTAACTTTATAAGGCAATGTTGAAAAATAGTCCTCAATTTCCCCTAGTTTATGAATTGTGATGTTTGCTCTCTAAGTCTTCCCTCTTTAATTTATTTACCACCTCTCAAAGAAGTATGGAATTTAAAGTAAATTACTCATTATAATATTGTCATCACTCAGGCAAAGCATACTTTTTATAGCCTTTAATCTTATTTGATTACAGAGCCATAAACTGGAAAATCAGACCCCACTTTCCACAGCCACCTGTCGCATCCTCTGTTTCACAAATTGCCAATAGTTTTCTTTGATGTTTAATCTATATTATTTATAATCAATTAAAAGCCAAATCTTTAATCTATCAAATTACATGTTATATTATGTTGTTTTCTGTACAGAGATTTGTCTATTTCAATTCCAGGTCAACCTTTATTCCCATAGCAAACGCATTGATGAGCATAGTTAGAAAGCCAGAAAAATTATGATAGTTATAGGACATTGTCTGCTTTTTACGTGTTGTTATTCTGTGTTCTTAGGTGCATTCTTTAATTAAAGAAAAAAATATTTAGTGCAATAAAACCATTGGTATAAAAAAAAATAAGAGTTAAGTTTCATCAACAGTTGACAGCAAAAAAAAAACAAGACCCAGGTAAGCACTATATTTCTTATTTTTCATATGTATTCTTTACTTATTATTATAAAAATAACTAAAATGTAAAAATCAGGAACTTTTTAAGTTAGATTAGGTAAAGAAAAATAATAATAATAAAAACTTTTCACAAGGTAAGCTTTCGAGTAGCCCGTGCTTTACGTAATTCAATAGGTAACGTGAACTAAATGATCACTGAGTGATTTACAACTTGTGTGACAGGATTATTAGTTAGACATGGTTCAAAGGGCAATAAAACAATAAAATTAAGTATAAACAGATATATACTATTATAAGTTTTAAGCTGTTTAACTTATTCAACCTGTGTTCAGT